TGGTTTATGGAGATCAAATAACTTCTTGAATATAATCAAGAAGTTATGTTGTGAATGAAGAACAAAGTGCATTAGTTCAGATTTAGTCATGTGACAGAAGTGGATGTAACTACTACACCGTCTAAAATAAGCTATTGCCCCACAAAAACTAGTGCATGATTTATGCTTTAAAGATGGCCTTCAATGAAAGTATTTATTTCCATTGAAATAAAATTATAAACAGGTGGATTCTGACACTGAATTTTTAAGGCAAAGGGTTGTACAAAATTGCATTTAGAGATGATCAATGCACAGAATACCCTCTTTAAATAACACTTCCTTTTATAAAAATGACTCTCAAACAGAACCTCAACTTTAACACATGTAATCTACACTCACCGGCCACTTTATTAGGTACCCCATGCTAGTAACGGGTTGGACCCCCTTTTGCCTTCAGAACTGCCTCAATTCTTCGTGGCATAGATTCAACAAGGTGCTGGAAGCATTCCTCAGGGAGTTTGGTCCATNAAAAAAAAAAAAAAACTACAAACAAATATGACAAATAAAGCAGAGATTGGCTGAGTGTACGTTTGGACATTTTTTTGAAAATATGACTTGGGAAACCTTGTCATTAGAAAATGGCTCATATTCAGAGGAGAAGAAACTTAAACCCATCAATTTCACCAAGGTTATTGCATTGATCACAACAGTTTTGTTAAAAAAGCCATTTGACTAGTCAAGAGGCTTTTTCTTTGTAGTCAGAAGAAAGCTTATATAATATAAAAAATAGTATCTTGAGGAATGAATGCAAAAAATGATCAGCTTTGAGGGGGTTAGTTTTTCTGTGTTTGACACCTCTCCATATACTAATCAGTTAATATTTAAAGGTTTTCATCAAAATTATTTATAACAAAATACAGCTACAGACTGTCTAGCTGCTGGCTAGAGTAAAGTACTGATAAAACATTGCATATAAATAATGGAATTTACTTTTTTTGTAATTCCTAAAAACTTATATAAATGTATACATTTTGATCTCTGGTTGCAATGTCGACACAAAAGCATTTTGCACCAATAGGAATAGTTGGTTGAAGTCACAGGAAATGGAGCTCAGGCTTTGCCAGATCCTAGTAGCTCGGTGATGGTGCTGAGAACTGGTTTCTTCTCTGTGCTGCATAGATCAGGTTCTAAGACAAAAAAGCTTGTGAGCTTGGTGCCGACTTAAGGAAGCAAAGGGGTTCAGAAGCCAGGCACTTGGGCAGGTAATTTACATGTTTGCTAATGCTAATCTTTTGTAAGCATTAGCATTGGCAAACCAGGCACTGATGCAGGAGAACTGAAGGTTGGAACAAGAACACAGAGTGAGAGTCAATCGCCTACTGATCCGAAGCAGCTAAATTTGTATCTATCTCCTTTTAGTTTCCCCTTTTGTCTCATTTAATTGGTTTGTTGTTTTAAAGGTTTTTTTTTTTTTTTTTTACTAGTTCTTTTAAGTAGAGTTCTTTTATTTATTTTTTTGTTTTGTTTTTCTGTGGCTTAAATTAAAAAAACCCTTCATTTGAAATTGAATGTGTGAATGATTTTCATTTAATTCTTGGTTTATCACACTTGCATTGTATCTAACAAGGCCAAGGACTAACAAGGCAGATAAAATAAAAGCATATTTTTTGAAACAAAACTGTAAAACATACACTTTAGAAGGGAACATTTTGTTAGATATAAGATGAAATAAAATGTAATGCAGAGTAGGGGAAATGACAGAGAAAAGGACATGATGGGTTAGGAAGAGGCAGGGGGAGGGTAGCACCCTGTCCCCCTAATGTCCCAGATAACATTCTACTAATACCACAGGGGGTAGGGGGGGGAATAACCTAAATTTCATCTGTTAAATAAAAACTAAGAGCCCTGATGCCTTTGAAATCATTAGACACCATAAAAAAAGAAAAATCTATATAAAAGATAAAACAAAAGTAAAAAAATGAACATAAAGTTTCTACGTTTTTCAAAAACCTTGAACTTTAAATATACATAAAGATGTGTCTTTATGCAACTGAACGTACACAAACAGAGACAGCTGCATTTTAGATGAACCTTTTCCTATTTTAAATGCAAAATGGAATTTATGACTTGTGACAGACCTGTTGTAATATCAAAGGCAAACACAGAACTATTTCAAAGCTATATTACATTGTAAATAATAGTATTAGATGATGATTTAAGGACATGCAGTAATTTTCTCTCACAAACATGTCTCAGAAACACAGTTTTATATTAGCCAATGCAGCCCATCCTGCTTCTGTAAAAGAATGTAGGAGTGGGAAGGTAACACTTAAAAATGTCTCCATCTGTGGTACAGTGATGTTACTCATGACAGTTTAATGCCCCAAACCAAAGTCTGCAATGCTGCTGTGAAACTCTGCATCTGCAAACTGGTTTAGAGAACAATCTTTTATTTCAAGGTGGATCATCTAAAAAAAGCGGTCCTCCTAACTGTCAATCATTCTGGTGATATGTAATTTCCATTATTATTCAGACCAATACTATTGTTTTCTAAACAAGAACAAACAAAAAGTACATCAACTATAAAATTACTATGGATATTGTTATCTCTTGTGAAATGCATTTCTCAATATGTTGGGCTTATTGCTTCTTTAAATCAAATCTCCAGTCAAGTGTTTGGTGGGTTTGGTAGGCCTCCCTTTAAAAAGACCGATTTTGGATTAACTTAAAACGTTTTCTGCCTACACACTGACTAAATCACTGCTATGCAGGAAAAATATGCACCTAGAAAAACATGTAATTACATCTTAGCAACCCTCAGAGAAAAAGAAAAGAATGACAAAACTGATTATAAAAGTAGAGGTCAGTGAAAAAGCAGCAGCTTATATAAGCTGCTTTACATAATATCTGGCTAATAATGCCTTTGCAGAGTTCAGTCAGAATAGAAAAAAGTTATACAAGATGTTTTTAAAAATGTGATATAATGTCAACACAATAAAAACAGAAAAAAGAGAAGCTGATTAAAAACAACTTTCTTATAATAATCCACATAAAAGACAGATCTGCCAACAGGGAGTCTACTTGTTGAAATACTTAACAGTCTTTTAAATATGTGGAGGTCTGGCTAATTAAATCTCCAAATTCTTAGCATAACAATTAGAAAAAAAAACCTCACTGCATGCATGGAAATTATTTTCTTATGTAGTACTGTAGGCGTTTTCCTAATGCCGAAAGTTGTGAAATTGTGAAAAAATAAAATAATTACAAGATATGCAACCTCAAGGAACATTTAAACAAGTATTAAATGAGATCTGAGATTATTTCAACAAGAGAACTTTCTCATTTAACACGAAACTCAGTATTATTGACAGACTGAAGCGTTTTTATTTTTACTTAACATGTTTAAGAAAACTACTGTGTTGAGTCTCACAGTTGCATTTATTTTAATTGTGATATAAAGTGCTTCTTAAAAGTATTATATACAGTGATAAGATTAGTATTAGTATTCAGACCACTTGAACTTTTTTATTAGGATTCTATGTGACAGAAGAACCTTTACTCTGTGCAAAGAATTCAAATATAAAGTTAATATAGATTTCATCCACATCTGTAGCTGAGAGGAAGGGGAGGGATAAGCTCATCAGGAGGACCAGCTCTGTCCTAAGAAGCTCCCCGGAAACAGTGCATGCGATGGGAGACAAATGGCCGAATTTAAAAAATTTAAGAAAAAAAAGTGTCTTTCCTGTTGCATAGAGCTATTGCAGAGCAGAGAGAGCTCTTTCAGTTATAGAGTGCTGAATCCTAGATGCTCTAAGGAGCGCTTCTTCAGGTCCTCCCTTCTAGTTGATGTTAGACTTCATAATGTCAACAAATCCAGCAAGTGTTTACCATCATAGTGCTGGTTCCACAGGTTCCTCTTCTTTGGTTTCCAAATTGTAAAATCATGTATGTTACACAGCTTTTTTTTGCTTGATTCTTACCTTTTTACAATATTCTGGGAACAGGCTGCTGTCTTTCTTCTATTTAACTTGAACATTCAATTATTATCTGAATATGCCTAATCGTTGCACTGCATTTTTTTCACTTTTTATAAGGTTTTTCTCTTCTGCTTTACAGCTTAAATTTTGATTAAATATATATTCCTATTATGTCTACTGTGAAGGTCTGGTGTATTCCATCTATATGTCTTTGCCATTGTGGAAAAACAAAGGGTCAGAGGTGTTTCAAATTTTAAAAGTAGCAAAAGTATTTCTATTCAATTCTAAACCTATATTAATTCACAAAGTTGATAATAAATAAAACAAATAAAACGTAGATGTCATTTTTTGCTTTAAAATACAATAGAGACTTAATTACAATGGTAACATTTAAGGGGTTAAAAAATAGCAAAGTCTTCCTGATTCGATTATGCATTTTAATTTTCAAAACATAAAAAAATCTATTGCTGCCTAATATTTCTATGGTATCTCATGTAAAGAATGATACCTCTTTTAAAATGTGTGTTGTATATTAGAGATCTTTTTAAAGCATTTGTGACAAAAAAGATGAATAACTTTTAAATATAAACATCAGTTAATTTACTCCAAGAGAAATCAGCGTCAAAGTTAATTTGGTATTTGAAAAACCCCACAAAATTATAGCTCAGTCATACAGAGCATTATTCATATGTCTTTGAGCTTATTAACCCTACAGAGTAAACATGATTTAGCCCGTGCTTCCAATCACTCGCTAAGAGGTCACACAAACACAAAAGTAGAAGCCCTCAAAAAGAAAACACTCTTGACCGGAAACAGGTTGCTTTCAACAACTCAGATATTTTTACACATACATTCCTGAGCTAATCCCAACTTTCTGAAGTGTAAAGCTTATCCACCTGGGTTAACGGAAATAAAAATAAAACAATATATCTGCAAAATAGTTCAATGCAGAGCGAAAAACTAATACAACTTCTCAAATGTTAGAGAAAACAATGAAAAGTTTTTGTTGATGTTCCTTATCCTTTATATTATGGGGATTTGTACCTCAGAGGGGGAAGTGCTGGGATGCAGCAGGAGTAGGATCAAATTCCACCACCTAGAACCAACGCCAATTGGATGTTGCTGGCAGCTGTCCAGCCAATCAGAAAGGGTTAAACAGGTTCACTCGGGTTGTTTAGGTTCACCAGGGACTGCAGGGGAAAGGTCACCTCTGTCGGCTGTCTGTGTTGACACCATTTTCTTCTAACGACCTTCATAAAAACAGAAAAACAAAACGAGAGATGTTTTAGCATGAGGGCAACATATCTGCCTTGAATGAAGAGACAACAAGTGTAAGAAAACTGTTCAGGTCAAATGGTGAAACACTTCTAAAACAATCCAGGATGGTGAGATGTTGCAGGAGTTTGATCAAATGCACATTGCTTTGGAGCAAAATAAAATCCAACCAGGTTTCTACACAGAAATCCTTTTCCTCGCAATGAGATGTTTGGTTTTTTAAACACAGAACATGTTTTGTTAAAAGTGTGGAAAATCCATTTTGAAAAGCTAATTTCTAAATTCGTTTTATCTGATAACTGGAGCATGAATCAAGATAGCTGTACTTTGTTGAAATAGCTGCACTGTGCTGAAATCCAATTACAATATTCAACTTTATAAATTAAGTTCTTGTCTTATCAGTTTTTTTTTTCCTCAGCACAGGGATTTTGGGTTTATTTAAAAATAAACCTCAGTTGTCTAACAGCTGCCTCACATTGGTCAAAATCTGTCAGTCAAAAGTACAGAAGTCAACCCTTCTAAAAATTGAAATAACAAAACGTTATATGGGTATTTTTATATATAAACAATGCATGGACTATTTTCATTAAGTACATTAAGTATTTAGTTGTGGTTTGTATTTTTGGAGGAAGAAAAAGGAAATTTTGGGGATAAAGATAAATTAGTATTCTGGTTTCAGCAATTAGAGCAGGATTTGAAAAAAAAAAGAAGCTTTATTTGGCCAAGTTTAATGAATTATTTAAAACCTCATTTAGATGCTCTGGATAGATCTGGTTCTATTTACTATGAAACTAAAGATAAAAAGTTTTACTACAAGAAAAAAGTATCAAAAAATTTCTGTTCCAAGGCAAAGCAAGTTTATTTGTATAGATAAATTCAGTAAAAGGGCAATTCAGTGCTTTACATTAAAATAGAAGAAAAATAAAAGTAGAATAAAAGCAAATAAAGATAAAAACATGCTAAAAACAGGTAGCAAAGCAATTAAAACAGTTGGACCACAACCGGGCTGATGTGCTCTACTTTCTTACTGCTAGTGAGAGCAGAAGGGTTTCGGATCAGCTGCAGCTGTCTGATGGATTTTTAGACAAGCCTATGGAGACACTGTTACAGTAATCAATTCTACTAAAGATAAATGCATAAAGGAGTTTTTGTAGATCCTGCTTGGACATTAGTCCTTAAATCCTGGAGATGTTCTTCAGGTCATAAAAGGCAGACTTACCGTAAGCCCCTGTCACACCTTGACGATTTAGACAGCGTATGCCTGACGTCCCAGAATCTCCTAAAACGCTGGCATATGCTGAACTTTCTATGTATTTTTTCAATTTTGGACGTATACATAGAGTATTCAGTTCAAGTCCAGAACTTATGTCCAACAACAGCCTAACTTATGCATAAAGCCAGTGTCCTAAGAGGGGCAGCAATGTGCCAGGAGGCGCCTGGCCTTCATAAAAAGATTTCTTTGATCACGGTATTAACCTAGCTCCTGTTTAGCGCCTGCCAACAAAAAAAAAATTTTATATACATAAATAAAAACAGAAAAAAAAAGAAGTAGATTTTGCAGTCACAGCAGATTCAGTGTCATGTCTGTTGGGAAGTTTGTTGGTTGTGACCGTGGGTTTGAAAGCAGGAAGCATCCATCACACCTTACCTTCACGTTCACCCTATGATGGGGATGAAGTCTGGAGGATTAAACAGTAGATGTAAGTTAGAAACATATTCAACAGTCGTCTGGAACACTTCAAATACGTCGATATGCCTTGGAGATAAGTTCTTGATAAGTTACACATAAGTTATGCACAGGGTACTCATAGGTTTTGGATAAGCTGGACACTACCTTATTAGTAACTTACATTTAACGTAGTTGAACGATCAGATAACATACCTGTTACCTATTGCCCACGTAGGAGCATACGCTGGAATACGTCAAGAAATTTTAAGCATGCTCTACGAAATTTCTTGCCACATGTTGACGTGTGCCAGTTTCCTTCAGTGTGCTCATAACTGATACAAAACTGACCCATAACTTATCCAACATATACCAGCGTTTTTGCCAGATTTTTTTAAAGCCGTCAAGGTGTGACAGGGGCTTTAGTAATTGCCTTTATGTGCCTTTGAAGGTTCAGCTCTGAGTCCATCAAACACCAAAATTTCGGCCATAATCAGCTCCGAAGATTATTACCTCACTTCTGTTTTTATTCAGTTGAAGGAAATAATGTTGCATCCACGTATTGATCTGTTTTTGAAGCATTTAGCCAACCCTCTGATGGGTTTCATAGTCACCTGTTGACATTGTGATGTAAAGCTGTGTGACGTCTGCATAGTTATGGTAAATTATCTTGTTGTTTGCTATAATCTGAGTCAAGGGGAGCATGTAGATTTTGAATAGGAAGGTGCCCAGAATTGAGCCTTGAGGAACCCCAAATGTGATTTTTCTGGTCTCTGATTTATAGTTCCCTACTGACACATAAAAGTCCCTGTCATTCAGGTAGGATTTAAACCAGTCCAGGGCTGTACCAAAAAGGCCGACCCAGTTTTCCAGATTCTCATATACAATTGAGGGAACAACAATATCAAACGCTGCACTGAGGTTACAATAATACCAGCACTGTCGTTCTTCCAGAGTCTGGATTTAAACAGGTGTCATTGAACACCTTAATCAGGACATTCTCTGTACTGTGGTTGGCACGGAAACCTAACTGGAAGACATCAAACAGAGATGGGGGATCGCAGTCAACAAGTCATCTCTATGTCATGTTTTTGTTCTACAGTACACAGGTACTGAGCCCGGTGAGTCCAATCTGGTTTATCCTTTGTAGATGGACTCACCTGGCTCAGTGGCTGTGTAGAACAAACCCATTACAGAGAGATGACTTGTCGACAACAGATGCCCCATTTCTGACATCAAAGCAGTTGGTCTTTGTTAAGAAGGCGTTTAAATACAACTTTTTCAATAATCTTACTGATGTAGGGAAGGTTTGAGATGGGTCTGTAGTTCTGCAGGACCAATTTGTCCAAGGTTTTTTTAAATAACAATTGTTTGATAATATCTGTTTTTAAGGCTCGGGGGGAAACGAACGACATAAGGGATGCATTTATGATTTGAATCAAATCAGACTCTTGAACAGTTACAACCTTATTAATGAAAAATGTGGGTAAAACATCAAGACGGCAGGAAGAGGATTCTAATTAGCAGCAATTCAGCTCCAATGAAATACTCCCCAAATGCATTAACCACCCATTCTGGCAGGCTGCATTCATATAATTCTTGAATAGCATTTAAGACTACGTAAAATCAGCAAAAAAAAAAGAAAAAAAAAAAGAAAAATAAATATCACAAATGTAGCAATCTGAGATACAAAACTTTCTTGTTTTTCAAAATATATTATATATTAATTGTGGCTTCTGAGATTGAGAATATATTTTGAAAAACAAGAAAGTTTTGTATCTCAGATTGCTACAACAAAAGTAAATATTGGTTGTTTTCTATTTCATACTCTATTAATGCCACAATAATTCAGTTCAATCATAAAGTTTGTTGTCTTGGTTTGATTGCACCTAGAATGCCTCCAGGCTGCGTGAATATGTGACAGGCTGCACAGAAATCTTTTATTCTACTTTTATTTCTAAGAGTCCAAAACTCTATTCCTTACTCTGCTACACTTTCCTACTACCCTCACAATTTGCATTTTTTCCTGTTATTTCATCTTTAATCTTATATTCTATCTATATTTTTCTCTTCAAAATAGCTACATTTAGCTCAATGTTTTGTTTAGTTGTGACACCTTCCTAGAGGGGGAGACATACGGAGCTACTGCTGTCAGCAACTTTACACTCAATTTCTATATGACACACTAGGCTCTTTCTTTTATTGGTCATCTCTGTTTCTCTTGTAGAAAGAGCTTTTAGTTGAACTTTTATTGTGCCTAAATTTCATCTTCTAGACTTGAAAACTCGCTCAGAGCTCATCTGTTTAAAAGAAATCTGTTTAGCATTTTTCTCCTGTAGATAAAGCCACTATAGGAGCTCCAGCTACCATTAACCGTTTATGTTTTCCTTCCCTATAGAAAGCATGGATCAGATCAACTGTGTTTCTATTTTTTCCTGCATGTAGATTCTTTCTTCTCAAACCCATGGTCAGTCATGGCTAAAGATTATTTTTCTTAAACATGGTTCTGCTGGAGATTTCTACCTGTTATTGTTGTTGAATGCTCTTTCCTCTGTTTTTTACATGCATGCTAAGTATAGCAGACTGCTGAAAGGCAGTGACATAAATCAAGTGACTGTACTGTCAATACATGCTTTTCCAGGAGCAGAACATCCTGCAAGTCAACAACTCGATGCAAACTGCTGGGTTTCCTAAGATAGAAAACTTGCAAACAATTTGAATGGCAAGTTGAATTTGACATCATTGTTTGATAACTGGGTTAATTGCAAAATGCATGCACTGACTTTGATCTGTCAGTCTGAAGCGCTGAATTTAAATCACTTTACTGTATTTATTACATAGAAATTACTGTTTCCCTCATCGACCAGTGGGAACTTTTAACAGTTGTGCTCATAGGCCAAAAATGTATACCGGTAGTTAAATATTTACTAAGTCAGACCAAAATGATCTCATCCTTCCTCCTTTTTTCAAAAGGTCACAGAGACTTTTAGATAAACATTAAAGTTTAGATTAATATGGAGATGAGGACTTCTCCTTTAAGATTAGTAATTTGAATTTAATTAAAGAAATTGGTATCATACTCTAAAATACTAATATTTAATCGGCATCTGAGAAGAGTAGGGTTAAATTTCTATGAGCACAGTTTGGATTCTGTGAGATGGCAAAGCAGGTTTAATAAAACCTATTTGTTAAAAAAATTACTTTAGTAAAACTGGACCAGGATTTTAAAAAATAACTGTGAGCTCTTGAGTAAAACAAACATATTTGCTTTGCCTCTGATAATAAGGCTGGATTATGTGCTTAAATACAAGTTTTATATTTGGATAAAAATAACAAAAATACAATTAAATGCTTCAGGCACACGGTTTATTTTTCTCAAATGGCAGAATAAACATATTAAAAATAAGAATTAATTTTATCCTTCACATTCCAGCATGTCTTCGCTGTCGATTGATTGTCTTATAAAGAAGGTCACAAGAGTTTAAACTTAAAGAGGCATGTCTAAACAATGCCTCTAAACCACCAAGAAATAAATGATTTAATGAAGCAGAACCAAGTACTGGTGCTTAACTTTTTTCCCCATGTGGTAAAAAAGGGAAACAAAACTGTCCCTGATTAAGATCAGAAATTACAATTTAGGTCTAAAGGATCTAGAGAGGAGTTTGCAGACAACCATCATGCTAAGCAAGACTGCCGATGGAACATACATTAGATAAAAGAGAAAGGAATAAATTATATTAAAATCTACTAAACGAAATCATAAATACATGCAAGATATTTGTAATGACATAGTTGTTAATTTCTATAAAACCTAGAGGATGAGATAGGTTAGCTAAGCTGCTGCTCCTTTACTGTCTGAAAGCTGTACAAAAAGAAATTTCCATTTGTATACACTCTGTTTCTAGAAAATGACAATAAAAGTTGTCTACATCTAAGGTTTCCTGAAACCAAACACATTATTTTAGCAAAAAAATAGGAAATTAAAATGATCAAATCAAGTCTGAGAGCGGCAAGATGTAGAACTTTACAGACAAAAATTGTCAGAGGCTTGTGGAAAATCCTCTTTTTTTCAAAATAAACAATGAAAAAAAAAGCCCACACAGAACTGGTTATCCAGACTGAAAGAGAGAAGATAGAACATAATAATAGAATAGAGCTTAAAAGAAAACTACTTGTTTAGCTCTACAGATTTCTAATAAAAGTAAAGATCTTAATGAAACCAATAGTTGATCAGATTTTTAAATTGTTTATAATTATTAAAGAGAAACATCACTCTGATTAGTATCAGATGTTTATGTTTAATAATGACAAGTTATAACCTGCCAGGGGTATGAACAATAACGGGCTTTGAAAAAGCTTAAAATAAACCTCTGTGGGTAATTAAGAAATCAGGTGGTAGAAACATTTGTAAAGGAAATATTTTAAATGGTAAAAAAATGTTTATTAAAATAAAAAAACTGGATGTTTTTTAAACACATATTTATATCTAAACAATAGCTAACACACATCAGAGAAAATAATCCAACCTGTTTTGGAAGAACTATGATGCGTTTCTTCAACTCAAACTCAAAAACACTGCTGGATTATCTTCAAAAGGATCTACGGGAAATCCTGATGCATAAGTGTCATTTTCCAGTTCAGATATAAAAATAAACAGCACCTTGAAACAAGAACTTTTCCAATTCATATGTTCAGCCATTGTACATGTCTTTTTGTTTAAAAGACTCCTCATGCTTTTTTTCTCCCTAGAATTATTAGGGGTGAGTTTTGGCATGTCTCAATATGATATTACCATGATATTGCAATATCACCATATATATTGTGATAATTTACCCAGCTATAAAAATGAAATACATTGATAAAAAAGCAAGTGCTGTATATGTTCACCAGAATCCATGTTTTTTGGGGTTTGAATCAGTGCACTATCTACTACTATCACCCCCTTAACTAAAGAAATGGTGCTGCGGCGCACAGCAGAAGGGCTCCACTGCGCTATCTACCAGAGTGGTGGTGCAGATGTAGCCCCTTTACCCTCTTTGTTTTGATAAAAAAAAAAAAAAAAATGTTTTCTAATAGATATATTGAAGTGAAAGCTTAATATTGCTGGTGAACATTCTCAGTCATGCAGGTCATAGTCATTCCAAAAAAAGTAAAAAAAAAAAAGTTTAAAAAAAAAACAATCCACTGGACTTTGTTTTCCAAGTTTGAAGACGTTTCACTTCCCATCCAGGAAGCTTTCTCAATTCTAAATGTCTGGATTAGTGTTGAGTTCCAAGCTTTATAGAGTAGCCAATCAAAGTCTTGTTATGGCTAAGAAAACATGCGAATTGAACCGAAAAATACAGATCCACCCCTTAGTAATGGAGAGTTGTTGAGGTTGTTGTTGGCCTGCAATACCCAAAACTGACCTCGATATTATATTGGATAGCCGAAAATCACAAAAAACTGTCTAATTGGCCTTTCTTTTAGGCTAGGGGGAAGGAGTATTGGTCTGCTCTGCTACCTTCCAGCTGACCGGCAGTGCACAACAACAGTGCATTTGGTTTGGTTTGCTACCATCCTGGAGAGAAATATCAGCTTTGCTGCTGCCATCAACACCTTTGTTTATAGATGTTCAAGATCTGCCTGTTTTTCAGTGTAGTCCTGTTTCTCTGATTATGACTGGCTGGATGTGCTCTCTTCATCCTCTGACATGGGAGTTGGCTCAGAGCTTGTCTGGCCTGGCTGTGTGTTTCCTGGACGGGGCCGCCTTTTACAGCTGCTTTTTGTATCCCTGCTTCTGTATCCTTGAACCCCAGTCGGCCTCGGCAGATGGCCTGATTCTGATGGAGGTTTCTTCTTGTTAAAAGGGAGTTTTTCCTCTCCACTGTCGCTACAAGCATGCTTAGTGTGAGGGATTGCATCTGAGTCAATGAGTCGATGCCATCAACAGGTTTTCCTTAGATAGAAAACTTTGAATCAATTTGACTGTATGATCTGTTGAACTGTAAAGTGCCATGAGATGACATGTGTGGTGAATTGGCGCTATATCAATAAACTGAATTGAAATGGTTTGTGCATTTGGAATTAATTTGCTCTAGGACTTTACTAAAAGTATCAGTGGCATGATCCTTTTTTTTACATTTTTATAGTCAAAACAAATGCCATGTATCAATGTGGTTTTACATCAACAAAAAAGATTCATATTTGGAATGAATGTTTCATAAACTAATCTATTTTATGCCAAGTCTTGCATCTGGCTATATCTATATCTTTCACACACAAATAAACATACACTACATTATGTCAAAGCTTAACCCAAACTTCACATCTGTTTCTTTTTCGTTAAAACGTAACAAAAATTTGCAAAGCCAGAACAGATCTTAACTCTGCTGCTAAGTGAACCCAACTTTAACTGAACTCCAGTGTTCTCAATGGACTGCTTCAACCTGCAGAATCCCAGATTGGATGTGATTTCGGCAGACTGTGATGTTTTTTAAAACCAGCAGTTGGTGGTTCAACGGGTTGCCTCAAAAACACAGAGGCTGTGTAGAACAGAGCAGCTCCATCTGTGAGCCCCACTTGATCTTTAACCTCTGACCTTCAGTGAAACCAGATCCACTCACTCAGAGTTCACTGAGGCTATAAGGACACTCCAAGTACAAATCAGCATAAGCCAGATTAAAGTGTATATATAGAGATATATCTTTATATATGACTTAGTTTTAAGTTTAACCAGTCAGGAGTCAGCAGAGTCATCGGTGAGGATATCTAACCCTACAGATGTGTCACAGCTGGTGTCACATAAAAAAGGAAAGGAGGCTGAAACGCAGCAATGCAGACAGGAGGAAGGAAGCGGAGTGCAGCATGCTTCCATTGTGTGGCTGTGGGGGGAGCAATTCATAACCATCCGCACTCTCACATCAACACACAAAAAATACTTTTAAATGGATAAAAACCAACAGATAAGCAGCCGCTCTGAATCTCTCACCTTCCGTCCGCGTTTCTTCCGTCAGACTCTGCAAGTTTAAAGACAAATACAAGAAGCTCAAAGCGCTAATGAGATGCAGAGAGGGCTTGGCCGCTTTCTCTGATTCACCGGTTTCTGCCTGAAAAGAGGAGGGTCGCTCCTGCCGCCGTGCACGCGCCCTGCTCACAATATTACGAAAGTCCCGGAAGTGCACGAGCATCCAAAGTGATGTGCGTCCCTCGCCATGCATGGAGGTGAAGAGAGGAAACGCGGAGATTATTTAGCTGCAACTAAAACAAACATAAATATTAGGAAGAGGATTAGCGCCATTGAAAAAAACAAACAAAAAAAAAACGGATTTTTAAATTTTATTTCAGTTTAATAGGG